TGAGGTCATGGAAGGAGCCAGTAAGAAGGAAGGACAAGTTGTGAACCCCATTTGTTAGATCCTCAGCTCTACGGTATGATCAAAATCTTGGTTTACTTCACATCATCAAATTTCCTAATCCCTCTATGCATTTGTGAAGCTCCTTCAGTGTAATGGTCTATTTTAAAATAAAGGAAAATTTGTCTTCCCAACAACTTTTCCCCTACATGTCTTACATTTTTGTCTAAGAACCTAGCACTTGTGCCTCTGCATTTCAAATACATGTTGGGCATTTTTCTGCTATTTTTAATCTACTGGGCATTCTGGACATTCCTAGTATTTATAGTTTACTAATTTATTTCCTTGTGTAATCTCACCAAAGTGTGGCATGCTGCATATATTTCGAATTCTGATACCACCCACCTAGAAATTACTCAACAGGTGCGACCCATATCAGTAACTTCAACTCTGGATAAGGTTAAATATAGTGTTGAATAAGCTCCTTCAAACTGAGTTCCGTTTTTTTGGATGAGTTTAGTCTCAAGTTTATTAAGAAACATAACCATGACTTTGAGACTTAGAATAAATGTGAATCAAATCTCTCAATAATTATGCTAATAAATTGGTACAAGGCAAGTTCATATTTCTCTTAAATATGTGTTCGTTAGCCTATGTAACTTGAAAGGTTTATTGTTAAATTTTCTTCACCTATTTCGAGATATAATTGAATTTTTCTTTATATTATAAGGTAATATAGAGAATCCCATAAAAAAGCATATTATTATTCTCTAGGACTTTGAAGTTATCTTATCGATGAATTCCTTCAATTTCTATTTAATCCATTTTCAGATATCCACATTTCACACAATCATATCCCATTGTATCAACAAAGAAAAAAGTATCCCTTCTTTTCCAATCTTCTGCACAGACCTCAAATCTCTTCCTTTGCCACTTCCTTTAGGATTTAGCATCATCTCTTGTCTCCCCAATCCCTGGGTCCTCCTCTCTCCTTGCTGCTTCCTCTTCCTCTACCAACTTCCCTCTTTCCAAAAACTCCCTTCACTCTTCCTTCCTTTCAAACAAACAAACATATATATTTGTACATATATATATACATATGTGTGTGCATGTGTATACATATATAATTTTTCTCCTCAATAGGAAAACTCCTAGAAAGATTATTCAAGGCTCAGTGGATATGTGTACCTCTATTACTCTTTAACACATGGTTACCCTATAGAAGACATTTGCATAAAGGTCATTAATGTCTGTCCGATTGCTAGAACCAACTTCTTCGTTCCAACACACAAACTAGTTGGCTAAGTAGCATTTGACAATATCTGCCACTTTCTCCTCATCTTACTTTGCCCCATCTCCCTGGGTTAGTCCAAATACTCCAGTTTAAGTTACCATAGCTACCCTAAGGATCCACAAACCACATCTGTGGATCCACCCTCTTAAAGATGGGCTCATTCTCTCAGCAATCTTTCCTTTTCTTGACTCTACACCTTTGCTCATCACATATATATTGGAATTCCCCAATGTGAGAACCTCAAATTTCTTCCCTCCTGACTTTATACAGGCCTTCTGTTGAGATCTCATCCTTTTTCATGGCTTCAGTCATTACCTGTGTACCAGGTATATTCTAATACCTTGCTTGTCACCCCTAGGAACACACACCTAATTGCCTGAAGTCACCTTTCTGCTTGATGTCCCAGTGGATAGATCAAAGTCTACTTTCAAAATTTGAATTTGTCATCCTCCCCTTTCTACCTTTAGTTGTGTTCTCCCTCTGTAGTAATCATGTCTAACAAAACTTATCAGGCCATATATGTGGGATCATTTTATACTTCCTATATTCTTCACCTCCCACATCCAAATGGAGACTAAAACACATACTCTACAATTCCCAGAAAGCACCTAGGGTGATCTGTTTTTAAATATTAACATCAGATTATGCCTCGGCCCAGCTCTAAAAGCCTTCCAAATGCTCGCCAACCAACTTAGAATAACATACAAACTCCTTACTTTGGCCCTAGATGATCAGGCTTCCATCATCCCATCCAAACACCTCACTGTCCTCAAACAACAGCAGTCTTCTATCTGTTGCAGGTATGCACCAAGCTCACTCCCTTCGTAGTACTTTTTGTTTTTGCTTCTGCAACATTGTTGGTATTATTTATTTCAATATTTGTCCCTCTGATCTCAAATATCCCTACATCTTGTCCCTCAGGTGCTCAGCAAATATTGGCTCAGTATGGATTACCTGGTTGTTATTCATCAGAATATTTATCAACGTATTATGGATCCATGCCACGAGAGAACTTATATTCTTAAAGGCTTAGAACAGTCCAATAAAGATTATCAAATTTGAAATTTAAAAACAAAGACAATTTGTGACTAGAAACAGTAGCACACCTAGTTTTACCTTACAGCAAGTAAAGATCACAGAAGATGAGAAACAGAAAAGGGCGTAGTGAAAGGAGTTCTGTAAGGATAGAACTCACCGTTTTGGTTGTTAAGCAATATAGAAGCAGGCAACATCCTGTTTGCAATAGATATATCAAATTCATAAGCCTAGCCATGCTCTCTCATGCTCTTTCCTCTACTTCCTCATCTCAGTTAAAACCTGGAATTTTTTTTTTCAGCATAACAGTATTTTTTTTTTTCAGCATAACAGTATTCCTTGTTTTTGCACCACACTCAGTGCTCCATGCAATCCGTGCCCTCTCCAATACCCACCACCTGGTTCCCCCAACCTCCCACCCCCCGATGCTTCAAACCCCTCAGATTGTTTTTCAGAGTCCATAGTCTCTCATGGTTCACCTCCCCTTCCAATTTCCCCCAACTCCCTTCTCCTCTCTAACTCCCCTTGTCCTCCATGCTATTTGTTTTTATTCATTAATAATATAGTACCAATGCCAGTTCTTAAGAATAGAGGCAAAAGTAATTCAACCAAAAAAGCTACATTTTTGTCATATGTATTATTCTGAATAAACACATGGAGGGCATGCCAATTTCAGATTCAAAATTCAACCACATCAGAAAAAAATGAGTTGTTTTTTTTTAATGTAAAAAATGAGAGGATACAAGTCACTCTCTACTCAAAATTCAATGAGATTCTGACTAATACTATGTGGCTAGAAAAACTACCTTTTTCACAGCATTTACATTTCTTAGGCTTTGGTTTTTCTGTGTTTTATTTTTCAAATCAAAAGCAGAAATATTAACATAACACATATACTAGGTGTTATTTGACATTTGGGAGCTAATAAGGAGTAGGATGCAATAAAAAATTAACATAGCCTAATACTTATGAGAATGTTTTCACAGATTTGCAGATCTTTGGGATAGATGTTTCAGATAAATATCTAGGAACTAAATTCCTATCCATAGTTATGAGTTTTGAAGATGCTCTTTCCCCACCCCCCGCTTCTGTCATGGTTGTTTACTGGACTCTCTGTAATCAGAATCAAATTGGAATGACAGCACAGAAGATGTGTTTTAGTATCTAGAACTTCTTTATAATTGAAATAATGAAAGAAAAACCAAGTGTTGAGTTTAAGAAACATAATATATGATACTCAGGGACTACAGAGCTCTTTAAGCTAAAGTCCTAAAAATCTTTAAGCAGGTGTTAATTCATGAATGCATCCTAATAGAGTTTGTAACAGCACTATTATGTATTTCCATATCAGTTTAGGTAGTAAAGAATGTCCGTGGTTATATGTCATTATCATATGCTAATTAAGGTTCATTATACAGATGAGAAAGCTGAGACTCAGAGAGGTTACATCTCTTTTACAGTATCACACAGTGATTATTTTAGGAGGGTCTGAAGGTGTTACAATTACTTTCAGTAAAACTATAATTAATTTCCAGAGAGTCACAAATGCACCCAGAATAATTAGATCAGGAATTTCCTTAAAGCTGAAGTATTTTACAGAAAATTGTTTTTTATGGCGATTTTTTTCACAAGTTACACAGAATTTATGGCATTGTAGTAGTTTCTTAGAGCATTTATTAATCACATACACACACCAGATGTGCTAGTTAGTCACTGTTCAAGAATACATTCCTTTTATTATTTTGGATTTCAGTATTCTGACCTTAAGAAAAGTAAGTCAGCACACCAAAAGAGTTCACTTTTTTTTTTCTTTTTTTTTTTTTACTCTTCCAATCTCTGACAATTAAGAACACTCATCAATTCGCTTAAAATGCCTATTTGGTGCTAAAAAGAGTCTTGAAGGAAGCCTCATCTTACGGATTTTGGATATCACTCCTGATTATATCCACTGATATAATTTTAATGAAGGCATTCGTACTTCAGGTTTTCCTATAAAATTAAGTTGTGGCTATTTAATTTAGAGAGCAGTGAGTTTTTCTCTTAGCATTTTATCCATCTATTTTTTTTTTTTTAATTACAAAATTTTAAGCTTTACCATTTGGTAAAGATAAAAAGAGGGCTGGGGAAGACACACACCTCTAGATCAACAGCTTTCTGGAAAATGCTATGAATCATCTCTCATGATCAGTCACTCCTCAGAAAACTTCCAGCAGCATGCCTTTGGAGCTATTTCCAAAAGTGCTTAAGAGTCCATGTGTTAACACAGGACTCTGTTATGAACAAATAAAATATCATTTATATATATTTTAAGATGCACATGGCAAGTTCTGTTCTTCAAACCAGTTGTTCAGACAAAAAGGTTCCACTTAAAATTGGAAATGGGATTCAGTGCCAGCAAAACCAGTGTTAAAGTATTCAGATACCAGAACAACAACAAAAAGTCAAGATCTGAGAAAACACCTGGAGATAAGTTATTCAGGAGTTACACATATTCAACTGTGCTGATGCTATCACTTGTTCATAAATTGCATCCAAAGAAATACATATGATAGAATGTGATCAAATGATTTCTTAAGCAGGAAGGCATGCCAAAGAAATTTCTAGTCCATTTATAAAGGTAGTTTAACCGGAAGTGAAGATGAGCATTATATTTTAGAATAAATATGATTCTTACCATCTGAGATTGACTCCTAGGACATCCATTGATATCTTCAACTTTTTCATTTGCTAAAGCCAAGAAATAAAATAAAAGAGAGAAAAAAAGAATGACATGCTTAAGCAATGAAGTGAAACACAAAAAAAGGAGACTAAGAAAAACAAAACAAAACAAAACAACAAAACAAGCACAATGCTGCTGCTACATTCACTCTGTCTCCCAAGCCATGTACGAGAGGACACGCTTGTGAGCTGCTGCCAATTCCATATGCACAAATCAGGCAAAAAAAAAAAAAAAAAAAAAGTGAGTGAGAAGGAAGTTGCTGCTAATTCTTTAGCCCGTGCCAAATGACTGCTGACATGAAACCTTTCACAATTGTCCCTGCTGGATCAGGATACAGTTTCAAGGCATCTCCGAGTATATGAGTCGCTCTAACTAACAAAATGCGCACATGGGAGACATATGGTTTAATGAAGTGCTCGTTTCTGACAGTTCAGTGTATGTAAAGATATAGTTCTAGCCATTTAAAAGTATAGCCAAACTGCTTTTTTCAACACTCTCACATAAACATTTTTAATTAAACCCTGGGAGAGCTACGTGGATCTCAGAGACTCACAGACAGAGTTTCTATGCATTCAACTGAAATTGTGTTTCACCAAGGCGGGTGGGGGCAGAGACTTCCACGGTTCTCCCCAGAGGGCAGGTCTTACCGATGATCTGGATGATTTCAGCTAGCAGGACTCCATCTGCAATGTCTTGTTGCAAATCCTTGATCAGCCGCTTGTGGCCCGATTTTGCTAGGTAGTGGTTGGCCCAGTCAGTATAAATCTGTTGAACAGAGGGAGAGAAGAAGTGCGATGGTGTGAGAGAAAATAGAGACAATAAAAATGCTTAAGACAAATGTTGGATTCAAAGGGAAGCTATTCTGGATCACATTCCAGTTTAAGAAGTCATAGCTCAAAAGGAAATAGTTGTAAAATAATTTTATACAGCTCTCTCTCCCACTTATCTCTTGTTTCAAAGGAGGATGATTCACTCTCTTTCAAAACCAGGGACTCGTCACTTGTGACACAGCAAAACTCCCTTCCCGGATGACTACTGAGGAAACTCCTGTTTGCAAATCAGTTGGGTTTTCACTCTTTCCCTTGGTGCTGTCATACTGAAAATAATCCTGCCTGTCCTTGTAGAAGGAAACCACCTGGACTGATTTATACAGGAACCTATTATGAACATTTCTGTTTCTCCAAGACTTTATAGGATTTGTCATGTGAGATACTGTATGTGACAATATTTTGGCATCACGCTATGAAATAATCGCAAATGCCAAAGATATTTTACTTGGACTGTCATCTCCCATTTAAGCCTCTTGCAATGTGTTTATATAAGAAAAAAGAGGAAGAAAATACAGTTATTACATAAAAATTACAAAACATAATCGAGGAGTGGGTTATAAATTACAAGGTTGGCAGTATGGCATAAAGTAGAGGTGCCTCTTCCATGGTAAATTAAGACATAGAGAAAAGCTGGAATTGTTAACAATTTTCACAAACTAAAACACTTCTGATTTTTCAAATGTTATGAGACCCCTAAGGTCATCTAATTATAAGTGAATAAATAAGCATTAAGATGTTTCAGCTTTATGGGTGGCTCCTATAAATATATTAGTAAGTTTATAAAAAGGCAGACTAAGAAGAACACAGTATCTGAAATGACAATAGAGGAGAGGACCTGATTGAGAAATATACGTACAAAAATGTGCTACAGAAACACGAAGTGGGAACATAGTGGAACCTGGACACAAGAAGTGAAGGGAAGGGGCAGCTGGGTGGCTCAATCGGTTAAGTTTCCAACTCTTGGTTTCAGCCATGTCCTGAACTCAGGGTCCTGAGATGGAACCCCTACTCAGGCTCTGAGCTCAGCAGGGAGTCTACCTGAAGATTCTCTCCCTCTGCCTCTCCCCCCCACCAAGGTTATTGCATGCCTGCCAGTTCTTTCTCTCTCTCAAATAAATAAATCTTTAAGGGAAAAAAAAAAAAAAAAAGGAGTGAGCGAAGGGCCTTCCCCAGAGAAGTGACCAGATAAAGAAAGGCAGAGTGGCAAAGGAATCAAAGACACAGTTGAAAAATTTATAGTTAAGGTAGCGAGTCTTAAATTAGGACAAATTAGACTGGAAAGATAAATTGAATCTTTTAGTCATAAGCACTGAATGCCAAGCAAATTATTTAAAAAATTAAAATTATTACTTCTTGTTTTTAACAAGACCAATACATGCTTTTGTAAACATGAAACAAAATAAATCAGAAGTATAGAAACTAAGAAGTAAAAGTTTCCCTACAACTTGCAACCCCTACTCACTTTTGAATACTTTGATATGAAAAATTCTAGAATTTTGTTCTATGACTACACACTTCACCACATGACACCAAGTTACATACACATACAGAGACACACGACAGGATTTTTAACCAAAGATGGCTCAAATTTCACATATCATTCTGTGCTTCTCAACTTTTTACATAATGATATTTTAATAACACTGCTACAGCCATTTTACCTATATGTACCTCAATATTTCTGATGTTATATTGGACGTAACATCAATCCTCTTGTTGAAAGATATTTAATTTGTTTAAATATGTTCCTATCGCATGTAAAGTTGTAAGCGACATCCTTAAAATGTATCTTTGCACACTTAACACCCTAGTAATTTTATAGGACCAAAACCTAATAGTGGGACTGTCAAGTTTTGTTTTTTTTTAATGGATCCTAGGTACAAACATTCCAAAATAAAACTTAGAAGTCAGAGAAAGTACTTCCTTAGTTTAGAAAATATAAAGTGGCATCTTAATGCAATGTAGTGGTGATTAAATTTCCTAAAAGACTACAAATAATTGGAAGCATCCAACCGGATAAGAAAAAAATATGCGCAACAATATTATACCTCCTTTCCCTACGTTCATGATCCTCATTATATCAAAGATATTAGTGGAGAAAAGTTACTTGCATACATGTCTGCCAAATTAGAAAACAAAAACATGGTTCTTGGATACTCTTACTTGGGGATCATTTTCCCCAAAATTTTATTCTACTTGTATTTTCTATTTTGCACTAGAAAAATATATTTTTACAAGGAAATACTGCTCAGAATCCAAAACGCTGAGGACTTTCCCCTGATCAATACATCATTCAAATGATAGCATTAACTGTTGGCCTTCTACTACAAATTTTAGGTTGAGTCAGACTTGATTTGTGCCCTTATCCCCATAGGCAGTAAGTTATAAGGACCAGCTGACTTTAAAGCATCCCACAAAGATGAAGAACATGAGTTCTGGAGACAGTACACCTGGCTTTAGGCCTAGCAGACCTCTTACCGCCCTCTGCCCACCCAGCAACCCAAGATGTTGGACAAGTTTCATATCCTTTCTAAACCTTAATTTCCCCATCTGCAAAATAAGCATGATAATAATTCTTACATTGCAGGACTGTGTCAGGACTAAATAAGATAGCACTTGTAAAGTCCCCTTCACAGAGTTAGACCTGAAGAAATGTCTGCTCTTGTTATCGTCATTATGGCATCTAGTTGTATTAGCCACAGTGGCTTTCCAGCAAGTATTTATTAAGGGTATTGTTTTGTAGACTTTAAAAAATTTGAGAGGATTGGCAGAAGACTGAAAGAAAATGGACTCCTTGTTTCTTTCTTTCTTTTTCTTTCTTTCTTTCTTTTTTTTTTTTTAAGTACTTATTTATCAGAGAGAGAAAGAGAGAGAGAGAGGGCAAAAGCAGGGGAGAGGGAGAAGCAGACTCCCCAGTGTGCAGGAAGCCCCACATGGGGTTTGATCCCAGGACCCTCGGGTCATGATCCAAGCTGAAGGCAGACTCTCAACCCCTGAGCCACCATCCTGCCAACCCAGACTCCTTGCTTCTGACACCACTCATGTCTCTGACTCCTCCTTCTTTCTGATTCAATGTGGCCACCAATCTGTCTGCCATCCAAACTCAGAGGCATGAATCTAATCCCAAGGTAGCAGTGTTCTCATTTAGGTCTGCAACGCCCCCAGGTTCTATGCTGCAAATACTCTGTTTTACGAAGGCACTAAATCGTGCACAAAACACTTACTCAAATACACACAGAATGGAATGTATTAGAAATGAAATTAAGAAAACGTTCATTCTCCTAATGCATTCCACCAGTATCTTAGCCTCTATCCAAATTACTTCTGGAACTTAGGTGAGAAAACAGATGGGAAACTAGCTGATTGGCTTCAAGACTGACTGGAAAAGCCTCTGATTTAGCTCATGAAATGTTTTTTTTTACTTGGTCCAGGATTTCTTCCAGAGGATTCCCAAGCCTAAGTGCTTTGACTTGTCTCATATCTTTAATATGTGAAGCATTGCTCAGACCATAATCTCTGACTTCATTTGCAACCAGCAAAATCAATTCAGACTATATAAATAAACTGAAAATAAATCTCCATTTAAAAAAGACCTTGTACTTATTCTTTCTTAGTATGTGTAAAAGATACTTACGCCCCTTCAAGCAAATTAGTACCTTTCAAAAAGATGTTATAACCTAGATGAAATATGAAACAATTACAAAGTAACTTATAAATATATTTTAATATCATATTTAAACTTGTTTTTGTTGTTGAAAACCTTATACATATAAATTGGAGAAAAAAGTGGAAACATGAGGTATATCTTTAATGAAGATAGTCTTCAAGCAAAGGGCACAGAGTATATAAATATATGCAAAACTCATCAGTAAAATTATTGTACAACTCTGATAAGAGAGGATACAAACAACCTTGTCAACTGTTATATTAGAATCAACTCTTAAAATAAATACAACAGAATGGTAAGATCATGTCCAGATTTTTGATCTGAACTCCAAAGTTGCCTTTGGTTCATTGCCCCCCACCCCAACACACACACAAATCACAATATTTAATCCCTTGGCCTCACTTGAAATGAGTTACAAAATGAGTGGTAATGATTTCTGTAGGATTATACTATAAAGTAACAACCATAGGTTTTTCGTGAACAAACTGATATAATTGGGCACAATATCAAATTAATCATAAATTAATATTTAGTCATCAAGGCCTGGCTGAAGCTTTAAATAAAATTTCTCTAAACATCTGAAGCCAGTTTTCCTCACCTTTTTAACTCCAATATTATAACTATAAATGTCATCTCATCTGATAAATATATTTTAGGAAATTCTGAAAAATTAATGAGATTAGACTTACCAAACAATACTTAGAAATTCAGGTAAAATCATATATATATTAATTCATTTACCATAATTAAATATAAAAATCAAAGGTATGGTGGCATAATTTATATTTCATATTAATCAGCATGAATTTTAGGACCTATTATGCAATATATGTCTCCTTTGAGGAACATTCTATGTTGTTGGAATTTCTGCTCTGTCACTTAATGTCCATGTGGGCACTGACTGAACATTATTTCCTCTCAGTGTCAGAGCTTTTGTCATCTGTAAAATGGCAATCATAGTATTACCCACTAATGGGATTATTGTGTGGATTGGATGAATTTATACTTTTGGAACACAGCCTTTCACTTAACAAGTATTTGTCAAATGCTGAATATTATTATTCTCTATTTTAATATATACTATATTTATATTATAACGAGATGATTATGAGTTTTATAATTTTCAAATCCGTAAATCTTAGTTACCTGCCCAAATATAGTTAACCTAACTAAGGAAAACTGCTGCAAGATGTAATGATCTCTTAGTTTAGTCATTTGCTCTTATAATATTTCCCCTACAGTGCTTATTTTTCATTTAAGGTAATTGG